CCAGAGTTTAGCTTTTCTTTAAGGGACCTATGGTATTTGACTCAATGGTTGAGGTAAACAAACTACTTCTATAGCCCAAACACAGAGAGAATAACAATTTTTTATTATACATCATATGGCTACTGATATTTATTTGCTTAACAAATCATGCAGGTAAATTTGGTTAGTGTAGGAAATATGGGTAAATGTGAGCGCCTAAAGGTACTGAGTAAGCAAGATAATGAGTGATGGAAAAAAATAAATAAAAAAGCAGCCAAGCACAAGGTAACCAAGCAAAACCTCCAATAGAAACAAGATAAAATGCGGCGCAAAAATCATACAAATAGTCTATAGATGAATCAACATAAAATGGACATACACCCTGTTCCAAATTATTATGCAAATTCTATTTAAGTGTCACAAAGATGAAATATTTTGTTTTTCAGTTTAACTCATGGATGGCATTGTGTGTCAGGGCTCTTTTGTTCACTGAAAACAATCTTGGACACCTGTGATAATTAGATTGGCCGGTGAGCCCAATTTCAGGAAAAACTACTAAAGGAGGGTGTTCCACATTATTAAGCAGAGCACCATTTTCAAGCAATATGGGGAAGAAAAAGGATCTCTCTGCTGCCGAGAAGAGTGAAATAGTTCAATGCCTTGGACGAGATATGAAAACATTTGATATTTCACGAAAACGTAAGCGGGATCATCGCACTATTAAGAGATTTGTGGCTGATTCAGAGCACAGACAGGTTTGTGCAGATAAAGGCACATTGAGGAAGATTTCTGCCAGATCCATGCATCGGATCAAGAGAGCAGCTGCTAAAATACCATTACATAGCAGCAAACAGATATTTGAAGCTGCTGGTGCCTCTGGAGTCCCACGGACATCAAGGTGTAGAGTCCTCCAGAGTCTTGCAACTGTGCATAAACCTTCTATTCGGCCACCACTAACCAATGCTCACAAGCAGAAATGGCTGCATTGGGCAGAAAAATACATGAAGACTAATTTTCAAACAGTCCTGTTCACTGATGAGTGCCGTGCAACCCTGGTTGGTCCAGATGGATAGAGTAGTGGATAGTTGGTGGATGGCCATCCTGTTCCAACAAGGCTGCGACATCAGCAAGGCGGTGGTGGAGTCATGTTTTGGGCCGGAATCATGGGAACAGAGCTGGTCGGCCCCTTTAGGGGCCCCAAAGGTGTAAAGATGACCTCTGCAAAGTATGTGGAGTTTATGACTGACCACTTTCTTCCCTGGTACAGAAGGAAGAACTATGCTTTCCCTAATAAAATCATCTTCATGCATGACAATGCACCATCTCATGCTGCAAAGAATACCTCTGCATCAATGGCTGTTATGGGGATAGAAGGAGAGAAAGTCATGGTGTGGCCTCCATCCTCCCCTGACCCCAATCCTATTGAGAACCTTTGGAGCATCCTCAAGCAAAAGATCTATGAGGGTGGGAGGCAGTTTACATCCAAACAGCAGCTCTGGGAGGCTATTCTGACATCTTGCAAACAAATTCAAGCAGAAACTGTCCGAAAACTCACAAGTTCAATGGATGCCAGACTTGTGATCTGCTATCAAATAAGGGCTCCTATGTTACAATGTAACGTGATCAGTTCAAATGTTTACAAAGTTAAAATGTTGTTAAAAGTTTGATTGAAATAGCTTTTGATTTCAGTAAACATGCTGCAAACACAAGAAATGACAATTTTCAGTTCTTTACAACCTATAAAGTGTTTTGAAACTTCCTGTGCGGAATAATTTGGAACAGTCATTGGAAGTGTTTTATGTTTAACAAAAATCCTGTTATCATTAGGAGGTTTGTTCAATAAAAATGTGAATTGTACTCTTAATAGTTGATAACATGAGAATTATGCTGACTGTTATTTACATCATTTATTCAGGTAAATGAGAAAAATATCATTTGCATAATAATTTGGAACAGGGTGTAGACATCAATTGCTGATGAAAGTTCATAAGGTGAGTAAAATGCTCAGAAAATCATGCGTCTTCCTGGGCCCGGTGGACGTGCATATAAGTGTATAAGCAATGCGCACTCACCAGAAAGCGCATGTAAATGCTCATTAGTAATGATTTGATGTCATCTAATGGTCATCATGGGATGATAGCAGGAATCCTAAGCCTTTCATCTATGGGTGGATGGATTTAGAGGAATGGATTTGTCAATATCAGGATCTTCCAGAGTTCTCTGGAAGAGTGTCTCTGATAAGGAAGCAGGATGGCAGATAATGGAACTCCGGAAGATCCTGATATTGACAAATCCATTCCTCTAAATCCATCCACCCATAGATGAAAGGCTTAGGATTCCTGCTATCATCCCATGATGACCATTAGATGACATCAAATCATTACTAATGAGCATTCACATGCGCTTTCTAGTGAGTGCGCATTTCTTATACACTTATATGCACGTCCACCGGGCCCAGAAAGACGCATGATTTTCTGAGCACTTTACTCACCTTATGAACTTTCATCAGCAATTGATGTCTATGTCTGTTTTATGTTGATCCAGCTATAGACTATTTGTATGATTTTAGCGCCGCACTTTAAATTTGGTTAGTGGGTTGGGTTTCTTGTTTTCCCTAAAGCCAAAACAAAAATATTTTTAGCATATAATATTTTAACTACTGTGGGGTATTTGCTCACTTTTTGGATTGTTTTTAGTTCATCAATTTCTATGCATGGATCAGTCATCTTTATCATACGAACAATAAGTTATAATTTTGAATGTATACTCTCCGGCCACTTTATTAGGTCCACCTTGCTAGTACTGGGTTGGACCCCCTTTTGCCTTAATTCTTCATGGCATAGATTCAACAAGGTGCTGGAAACATTCCTCAGAGATTTTGGTCCATATTGACATGAGTTATTGTTGCCTTTTTATGATCTTGAACCATCTGCCCATTCTCCTCTGACCTCTGACATGAAAAAGGCATTTTCCTTCACACAACTGCTGCTCACTGGATATTTTCTCTTTTTCGGGCCATTCTCTGTAAACCCTAGACATGGTTGTGCATGAAAATCCCAGTAGATCAGCAGTTTTTGAAATACTCAGACCAGCTTGTCTGGCACCAACAACCATGCCATGTTGAAAGTCACTTAACCTCCCTGGCGGTATTCCCGAGTGCAGCTCGGGGTAAAATGTCAGTGCCAAAAGCGGTAACCCCGAGCTACACTCGGGCTTACCATGCGGCGCTGCATAGGGAGTCCCTGCAGCACTTACCTTGTCCTTCGCTCCCGCGATGTGTCCCTGCAGCGTCCCCGGCCATCTCCTCCGGCCGATGCCGGCATCCGGCTTCTGTGTTCCGGTCCCTGTGACGTCGGGACGTACGGGCGCCGACACCGGTGGGAAATGTGAAAATTTAAAAAAATTTCATTTTTTTTCAAAACACATTTTTCATAGTAAAACATTGCTGTTTCAATCTATTTCACATACATTTTGTCCCGAGTGCTTTGTCCGGCGCCCTGTCTGCGTTTTGTTTGTTCTTTCTGCCTGGAAACTGAGAAACGTCCATGGTGTCCAAAAAGTGTCCCTTTAGGTCAAAAGCGGTTTTAGATCAGCTAGAGAACAGCGATAGTAAATCAGAACCACTTGCAGAATTGAGTGATAATGATTCGTGGGGGAAATTCGTCATCAGACACTGAAAACGATTCTGCGACTTTGCTCAGCGATGTGCGAACTTGGCACTATATTTCAAATTTCAGTGTTTTCGGTTTGATTATATTATTTAATTAAATGTATTATTATTATATTTATTAATTTTTATGATTATTTATTCAATTATAATTTCGTGTTTCAAATTTTATCATACCCGGGATGTTTACTAGACTCTTGTTCGGACAGATTTCAGTGAGTTATTCCTAAAAATTACAGGCCTACAATAAAAAAACTACATATTTCCATGCAAAATAATGGTACCCGCTTTCAGCACCACCAAAAATCTGAAATAATCAGACCGCTAGGGAGGTTAAATCCCCTTTCGTCCCCATTCTGTTGCTTGGTTTTAAATTCAGCAAGTCGTCCTCACCACTTCTAGATGCCTAAATGCATTGAGTAGCTGCCATGTGATTGGCTGATTAGCAATTTATGTTACCAAGCAAATGAACAGGTGTACCTAATAAAGTAGCTGGTGAGTGTATCTTATATGTAAAAGTAAATTCACTTTGTTATGTTACCATAATCTGAAATAAAATGATCAAATGTCTAGATTGTATGACCCAATGTACTGTATGTTATGCTTGTACCATTCAAGTTGTAAAAAAATAAAAAATATGTTTAAAAAAAGGAAAATAGCAGATAGCAAGCATAAGTTCTTGCTCCTCCAGATACCATTGGATTTTGATTTGAGAAAATTGTGGGTGTTTGTTTAGGGGATTTAAGTTTTTGGTGAAGATGTAAAAAAGGCTAGTTATAGTACCAATTCATTAGAAATAAAGGACTTTAATGGATAAATGGCAAAGTTGCTAAATGGTTAGCACTTCTGCCTAGCAGTAGTAGGATCTATTGGTTCAAATCCCAACCACAGCACCCCCTGCCTGGAGTTTGCATGTTCTCCCTGTGCCTGCATGGGTTTCCTCCCATACTCCAAAGATATGCTGGTAGATTAATTGGCTCCTGTCTAAACATAGTATGTGTTTGAATGTAAGTTAGGGACCTTAGATTGTACACTCCTTGAGTGTTAGGGACTGATGTGAATGTACAATATATATGTAAAGCACAGAGTACATTGATGGTGCTATATAAGTACCTGACATAGATAACTATAGTACCGTATTTTGCGCTCGATAAGACGCACTTTTTTCCCCCAAAAAAAGTGGGGAAAATGTCAGTCCGTCTTATGGAGCGAGTGTAAAGCGGCCAGTCCGGTATTTCTGCCGCCACCATGTCAGAATATCGGGCCGGCCGCTTAGCTCTTCTCTCCTGCAGGAACTTACCAGTTCCTCGCTCCAGCGCTGCAGTCTTCCCGCGGCGGCTTCTGTGACAGCCGGGTGCCCACAGCGCATGCGCGAGAAGCACTAAGCTTTGTGAATGGTCTGGTGTCTTCTGGGACACATGACAGGTCCCAGAAGGCTCCGGGCCATTCACAAAGCGCAGCGCTTCTCGCACTTGCTCAGTGGGCACCCGGCTGTCACAGAATGAAGGACAACTTCGCGGAAGTGGGAGCGGGTACCTGTCAAATCCCTCCCTCCCCCCTCCTGTCAATCCCTCCCCAAAGGTACGCAGTCTCTGGTAATCTCCTTTACTGTCTGCAGTCTCTGGTCATCCCCTGCACTGTCTGCAGTCTCTGGTCATTCCCTGTACTGTGTCCGCAGTCTCTGGTCATCTCCTGTACTATGTCCGCTGTCTCTGGTCATCTCCTGTACTATGTCCACAGTCTCTGGTCATCTCCTGTACTATGTCCGCAGTCTCTGGTCATCTCCTGTACTGTGTCCGCAGTCTCTGGTCATCTCCTGTACTATGTCCGCAGTCTCTGGTCATCTCCTGTACTGTGTCCGCAGTCTCTGGTCATCTCCTGTACTGTGTCCGCAGTCTCTGGTCATCTCCTGTACTATGTCCGCAGTCTCTGGTCATCTCCTGTACTGTCCGCAGTCTCTGGTCATCCCCTGTACTGTGTCCGCAGTCTCTGGTCATCTCCTGTACTGTGTCCGCAGTCTCTGGTCATCTCCTGTACTGTCCGCAGTCTCTGGTCATCTCCTGTACTGTGTCCGCAGTCTCTGGTCATCTCCTGTACTGTGTCCGCAGTCTCTGGTCATCTCCTGTACTGTGTCCGCAGTCTCTGGTCATCCCCTGTACTGTGTCCGCAGTCTCTGGTCATCTCCTGTACTATGTCCGCAGTCTCTGGTCATCTCCTGTACTATGTCCGCAGTTTCTGGTCATCTCCTGTACTATGTCCGCAGTCTCTGGCCATCTCCTGTACTGTGTCCGCAGTCTCTGGTCATCTCCCGTACTGTGTCCGCAGTCTCTGGTCATCTCCTGTACTGTGTCCGCAGTCTCTGGTCATCTCCCGTACTGTGTCCGCAGTCTCTGGTCATCTCCTGTACTGTCCACAGTCTCTGGTCATCTCCTGTACTGTGTCCACAGTCTCTGGTCATCTCCTGTACTGTGTCCGCAGTCTCTGGTCATCTCCTGTACTATATCCACAGTCTCTGGTCATTCCCTGTACTGTGTCCGCAGTCTCTGGTCATCTCCTGTACTGTGTCCGCAGTCTCTGGTCATCCCCTGTACTGTGTCCGCAGTCTCTGGTCATCTCCTGTACTGTGTCCGCAGTCTCTGGTCATCCCCTGTACTGTCTGCAGTCTCTGGTCATCTCCTGTACTGTCCGCAGTCTCTGGTCATCCCCTGTACTGTGTCCGCAGTCTCTGGTCATCCCCTGTACTGTGTCCGCAGTCTCTGGTCATCCCCTGTACTGTGTCCGCAGTCCCTGGTCATCCCCTGTACTGTGTCCGCAGTCTCTGGTCATCCCCTGTACTGTGTCCGCAGTCTCTGGTCATCCCCTGTACTGTGTCCGCAGTCTCTGGTCATCCCCTGTACTGTGTCCGCAGTCTCTGGTCATCCCCTGCACTGTGTCCGCAGTCTCTGGTCATCCCCTGTACTGTGTCTGCAGTCCATTGGTTCAGACTATTTTTTTCTTGTTTTTCTCCTCTAAAACCTAGGTGCGTCTTATGTAGCGAAAAATACGGTAAATTATGCAAAAATAAAATCCATTATAATGTCATTTTTCAGGTGCATTTATTGAGGGATTAAATCAAGACCAAATAGGGTAGCATAATGTGAAATAGCTGTGATCATGTGATGTTATCTCATTGATAAATACTTCTTGCAGCGATGATCCCTCCTTGGCAGCTCTCCTCATCCACAGATAACCTCCCTACATTGATCAGCAAGCACCTCCACCCAATATGGGAAGACGTCCTTATATCAGGCAGCTTGGTGCTGAACCAATTGCTGCAGAGAGGTCATCTGTTGAGGTGAAGTGCTGCCTGGGATGAAGCATCCACAGATGAACCTACGATGGTGCTTGGAACTTGACACATGAAGGAAGAAAGTAAAAAAAGCAGTGAGACTAGTCAACATTTGAAAAAAGAGTGGGAAGCGGGAAAGAGTAACATGGAACTTTAACTTCATGGACAAGTTATCATAACTTCAGATCAAAGAAGCAGGAATACCTTGTCCAGGAAGTTAAAGTCATATCTAATACACATCTCACACATCGAATACACATCTAAAGCCTAGTACACGCGATCCGAACATTAGATGAAAAATACATCTTTCAAAGTGATCGTACGATAATCTGATAGTTACTGCACAGCTTTCGTCTGAAATTATTTGAAGGGACAAACACAACATTTTTTTTCTGTACAATTCCAGATCATACGATTTTCATTCAATCAGTACAGTATTCGTCCGAAAAAAATCAGAACAAGATTATGCATGCTCAGAAATGAAAAAATACACTAAAATACAATACAATACATGACATCACTTCTGAAGTTCTATTTTGTTGTACAAGAATTTTCGTAACTTTAGTAACCTCTTCATTTTTTATATGAGACTAGCATGCAAGAAAAAAAAACAGATGATCATTTGTCCGATATTCTCATTGCGTATACCAGGCCTAAGTGCCTACATAGGATTGTTGTTACTTTGATAGTACTAGTCACAGTCACCAGTTTCATCAGCACAGGCTTTCTAAAAGCTCTGTGATCTTTGATCACCGTAATGTCCATTAAATCCCTCTCTAAGTTCTTAAGGCACAAGGCTCACCTGACCTTGAGCCAGCAGTAACAGACATCTTTTCATCTGATTTGGACAGAACTTAGTATGGACTCCTATGAGTGCACCAAATGATCATGCCGTATCAGTAATTAAAGCGGAGCTCCACCCAAAAGGGGAAGTTCCGCTTTAAGGATTGGCACCTTTGGGGGGCGGGGGGGGGGAAGGGTACCCGAATTTGACAGGTACCCGCTCCCACTTCCGGTCCAATCACCTAGGCGATCTGAAGCGGAAGGTGTCCTCCCTCCCTCCCTGTAGTCTTTTGGGACACGTGACAGGTTCCAGAAGACTACAGGACCATTCACAAAGCGCAGTGCTACTCACGCATGCGCAGTGGGTACCCGGCTATGAAGCCTCAAGCTGTCACAGCCGGGTGCCCACACTGTAGATGTCGGCCTCCAGGAATATAGGACAGCTGGTGAAACAGGCTGCGGGGGACACACCGTGGGACCGAGGGACATCTAAGTGGCTGTTTTTGAAAAGTCAGCAGCTACAGTTGGTTCGACTCCCAACCACGGGCACCACCTGCCTGGAGTTTGCATGTTCTCCCTGTGCCTGCGTGGGTTTCCTCCGGGTTCTCCGGTTTCCTCCCACACTCCAAAGACATGCTGGTAGGTGAATTGGTTCCTGTCTAAATTGTCCCTAGTATGTGTATGTATGAATGTGAGTTAGGCACCTTAGATTGTACACCCCTTGAGGGTTAGGGACTGATGTGAATGTACAATATATATGTAAAGCGCTGCGTAAATTGACGGCGCTATATAAGTACTTTGTAATAAATAAATAAATAAATTTGCTCTAACATATAATTTTGAGGACAAGCTTTCGGGGAATGTCCCCTTCTTCAGGTCTAAGCAGTACTATTACAACGTTTTAGCAGAATGTTAGAAGAGATGTAGGGGATGAGAAAAGAAAAAGCAGAAAGAAACACAAGTCTAGGGTTAGCCTAGAGATAAGACACAACAAAGCAAAGACTGGGGGGGGGGGAGAACAACACTCACAGAGGGAGTCATAAAAATGTTGGATAATGATTGAGGAATCCCATGTCCAAGTTAAGGCCCTTATCTCTTGTGTCAAGTAGAATTGTCATTCTTAGTTCAAAAGTTTTTCTTTCCTGAATGGATTTGAAATTTCTATTAAGAACTAAAATATTGAGGTCTCCCATTGTGTGGTCTGGTTGTGCGAAATGGTGTCCCACAGGTGTGCAGAAGTCATGTTATTTATGTTCCTTGATGGTAAATGCAGGCCCTTATCTCTTGTGTCAAATAGAATTATCATTCTTAGCTAAAAGGTTTTTCTTTCCTGAATGGATCTTCTAACATTCTGCTAAAACGTTGTAATAGTACTGCTTGGACCTTGAAGAAGGGGACATACCCCAAAAGCGTGTCCTCAAGTGCAAATAAAAAAAGTATCACGTCAGTACTCAATTGTTTCTGTCGCAAGTGCACTAATACGGCTACAATCATCTCAAGCAAAATGGAAGATACTGTGTCTGGAAAGAAACTATTTGGGAACCCTATAATGCTCATCGTTGCTCAAACCACAACCTCATGGTAGCAACTACAATGTATTTTCTCAGATGCAGGGGCAAATGTTTTTCTCTGCATTTCTTGCCACATCTCACCATTTCCTAACATTTGTTTTCTCAAATTAAATTGTCAGGAATGGACTCGCCAATGGTGGTGGGACTCACCTGCCTTGTGGGCTGCCTTACCAGGGCTGGCCAGCGGGTGCTCTCAGCAACCAGAAGCTCACTCCTGCAATCAGCCATCACCTGAGGCTAATTGCAGGAGGTGTATTTAAGGAATGGCCAGACCTGCAGTCAGTGCCTTGGTGTTTGTTTCCCATGTGCCCTGTTTCCTGTATCCTGTCTCCTGCCTGCTCGACTCTCCTGCTTGACTCTGACTGTGATAGAACTCCGCCTGCACTGACCCCGGCTATTCCTGACCATTCTTCTGCCTGCTCCCGTTGTACCTTTCTGCCTGATTGTTCCTGACCCGGCCTGCCTGACCACTCCACCTCTCCGGCCCTGACTGCACCTGTACCTATTAGTTTAAGGTTTGCTTTGTTTTGCACTGTGTTTGTTTATTTTGTGCAGCTCATAATAAATATTATTATTATTTAATCATTTCTGAAGCCTGCTGTTTCCCTGTGTCAGTCCACACATCTCTAGTCATACCCGGATCCCTGACATTTGTGCAGCTCATAATAAATATTATTATTATTTAATAATTTCTGAAGCCTGCTGTTTCCCTGTGTCAGTCCACACATCTCTGGTCATACCGGGATCCCTGACATAAATACATTATGTGTAGTTATATAAATTTTTTTCACAGCAATCCTGTTGTCCCAATTTCTCCAGTTGGTATCCTAATAGTAAAATGTCCTCCTGAAAAAGAAACCCAGTTCCTGTGTTGGGTTCTTAACTTTTCCTTACCTTTAGCATATATCTATGTGTTTTCTTGTTTATGTTAGGGTTCCTGGATGTATATAATTGCATCTCATGTAGAGCGAGTGCCATGGCATAGACAGCACAATACACATGATAGGTTGTTGCAAACGTATGAGTATTGTATATATTGTCAGACATGTCAGCTAAGCGTACACTGCTGTTACATTTGTGAAGTGTTATTGTATAATAGATCTCGATTTCCCTATTAAGCGATGGAGATGAAGTTGCGCAATTAAAAAGCAAT